GAATCCAACAACCTGGGTTATCCAACAACCCAGCAAATGACCACATAGAATAAATGAGAATTCATGCTTAAGCCGGCCAAGCAATTCGCAAATTATCTTTATGTTTCCAGGTCGAAGCCTTCTCCTCAACAGCTCGTTTAATGATATAGCATAGAGTAGATATGCTTCTAAATTTGAAGTTGAATCTCCTCTCATTTCTTTCCCTCCATAAGTAATACGTGGCACAGCAAACCGAAAGTAAAAAAAATTCCCTTTGGTTTTTAAACATATAGCTTCTCTCACCCAAAAAATGAAGCACTTGTAACAGCCTGGGCCTAAGTAGGAACTCGCCAACAGCAGGAACCAGATTTTTCAAAACCTCAAAACCATAATCGCATTCAAAAAACATGTGAGCATTAGACTCATTATGCCTAGAGCATAGTAAACAAGTAGGCTGCACAGAAATATTCCTTTTAATGAGTTCATCAGCCGTTTTAAGCCCGCCATTAAGAGCAATCCAAGTATAAGAGGAATATTTCAATGCATGAAGTTTATGCCACACTAACCAATGCCATTCAGTAATAGATTCATCCCGGAAATAAAAATTTTTAAAAGAAGAGAAAGTAGGCTTCTTCTTATCAATCCAACCCATCTTGCAAGTAGAATCATTAGTCAAAGTAATTTGGCCAAAAAATGGGTATAAAACGTCATGAACAGAGCTCAGAAAACACCAATCTCCCTCCAACCAAAAATCAGAAATCCTGGCATTAGTCGGTATATAAGCTTGAAGATTGCAATTGGGTAAAACAGTTTGAAAGGACCTGCCCTGCAGCCAAGGATCCAACAGCAAAGCAATTTTGCTATCAGCGTTGATCTCAAAATGGATACTAGAACAAGCAATACTAGCCACCTTCACAATTTCCCTCCAGAGAATAGATTTTTTCATAGTTGAAGGTGTCCACGGGGTACCGTATTTAGTGTTCAGATAGGAGAAGAGAAGCGAATTGGAGTTATAAAATCTGAATAACAAGGAGCAGTGATTAGCAAATTTAAAAGCTTGAAGATCCATATTGCCCAACCCACCAAACTTTTTGGGTTTACAAGCTCTCTTCCAAGCAATGAGTTGCATTTTCTTAGCCTCCACATCTCTAAAGAAAAGAAATCTGGAACATAATCTACTCAAGTTCTTAATACAAGCTTTAGGAAAAATTGCACCCCTAATCCAGTAGGCAAAAAAATTATTCATTTTCATTAAATTTTTAAAAGCCGCTGGAAAAGTGAAAAAGCCGTCGGAAATTCCGCCGAAAAATTCCTTGGAAAAAAACAGTCGGAAATGCGCCGGAAAGCCGCCGGAAATGTGGCCGCCGGAAAGCCGCCGGAAAATTCTGCCGGAAATCAGTGATTTTCCTGTAGTGAATGTACTATCACTAGTTAGTACTATATGAACAGTTCAATTTTCCAGTTTGTATTGTACGATCACCAGTTAGTAATGTTCGAACAGTTCAATTAAAATGCATTTCATCCAGGATGAAATATAGGACGACCAAAATCGTCTCTATTGATCATATGGTAAGATCTAGTTTGTACATTACGATCAAAATATCAAAATTAAGCATATTTAATTGACAAATCATAGGATTAAATTAGACAAATTTTAAACATCACACAATATAATTAGATTCGTACAATGCGATTAGAACAACTTTTCAAATTTAAAATTTTGCCTAATTTAATGGACGGCGAGTTTTCTAATTATAATAGATTCTCCATTATGATATAATGTTCATACGTATGATTAGTTATATTTTAAAAATATCTTCTGATAAAAATAAAATATTTTAATTAATTTTTGTAACATCAAATTATACAGTACGATGTACAAAAAATTAAAATATTTAAAATCATTTTCACCAAGCTAACATACATCATTACAAGCCTTAACTCAAGAAATTTAAAAAATAAATAAATAAAAAGTACAAACTTATTTAACATAACCTATTTTACCCAATCTTGAGCCCTGAATCTTTAAAGATGGTACATGGTGTGCCTGAAATATTAGTCAAAATACAAACAAACATGCACTACTAATCCTAGGAGAAATAAAGAGGTAATCAACAATATTTGTTATCATCAAAATCATAAACTCGAAAGCCTATGTTGCAACATTATATTGCATTTTGTAAGATTGAAATTATGATTTTAAAGTGATTAGGTCGAGTTTAGCTGACATTCTGCTTTAGGCAAGATGTAAGTTCAGAATTGTCAAGATTTCCTAAAATCTTTTTAGAGTTAAAGATTTAATTCCCACTTTGCTCTTGCATATGATTAGATAAGATGTAAGCCACTATCCTATAGTGTTTCACCTTAATCATTGGACATTATGTTGATTTTAATATACATAAGCCTCTTTATGCATTTTCTTAATCTTATAATTTACATATAATCACTAAATTTCTAATAAAATTTCACAAATGTTAATAAATTTTATTCTAAAATATCAAAGACTCACATCTCTTTGAATGTAATTAGCTAGAAAAGCTTACTTTTATGTGTAACTTTACCCAAGAATTAAAAGCATTATGGCACAACCAAGAGGGTGGGTGAATTGGTAATTTAGAAACTTTAAAAAAGGGACAATGTAAAATGTAGCAGAATATTAGTGAAACTTTAAAATAGTTAGTACAATAATGATTTTTTTTTAGAGAAATAAAATTATTAGAGTTTAATTTGGGAGCAATAAAAAATAAATATTTTGATTAATAGAAATATTACGAAAGGTTTATTTTAATAATATTTCATGAATGCAATCACAATAATTTAAAATTACAAATCTTAGATAATAAAATTTTTAATAAATAAAGTGCAAAAAATAAAAGAAAATATAAAACAATATGTAATAGTGGTTTGGTCAAACTTGAGTGATATACACTCCCTAAAGATCGTCCTCTTTGGGAAATCCCATAGTAAATGCTCCTCCTACATTCTAGAAGGTGGAGAAGCCCTTCTTAATTCCTAGGTGGAGAATGACATTAACAAGCTCTTCCTCTAGAAAACACCTAAAACCCTCCTACTTCCTATAACAAGGGAAATGCCACTCCCTCCTTCTCTTATCAATGAAAGAGAAGCCACTCCCTTCTTCAGCTCCTCATAATAATGTAGATGACATTCCTCTAGCCTCCCTGTTATTCACAAGTTTTTCACCCAGATATTTCTTCCCTAAAGCTCCTCTCCAAGAGCTCCATCCCATAACCTAGAGAACCAAGGTGTAAATCGATGAGGATAACTATGTGACTCCTTAACTCAATCCATGACTCCCTCAAGGAGAAACCTCTCAGCCTCACCTTCTTTCTCCCAAATAAATTAGATAACTCTCACAAGCAAGCAGAAACACCTCTCACTCTCCAAGGACTCTCTTTCAGGGAAAACATCTCTACATACTCAATTATCTCTCTCACTAATATTATTAAAATAATTAGGTTGGGCTATCTAAATTAAACCCTAATTTTTAGTTTTAATAAATTGATTTTACAGTTTGAAGTGTGGATCATATTATCTGATTAGTTCAAAAATCAATTTTGAGCTCTATTAGATTATACTATGCAATACGATCAGCTAAATCAGATCAAAGACCATTCTGGATGAACCATGGTTCATCCCACAAATGTTTTATTATATTATACTAGATGATTTGGATCATATGAATGCTAATTATGATTTGATCCTAATTTGGTTCCTTTATCAACAATCAAATTTCGGAAATATTCATTAATAATTTTATAATACTACTAGGTTAGTACAATATGATTAGATCAAAATTTAAAATTCAAATTTACCTAAATTTGGAAACTTTGATTCAAGGGTGGGTAATTATCAAAATGGTTAATAATCCTATATGATCACATAATACAATTTAATTAGTTAAGTTGAATGTTAATTTAATTAAACCTTAATTTAATTTTTGATATAGCTGCTTCTATAATACGATTAGGAATTATCACTCCCCACATAAGAAGTTATGGGAACTCCCTCTAATCCAGAGCAAGTATCCTCACTCATGCTCAACAAGCTCAAATACAAGAATATATCTACTCATGGGGCCATCAGCTCGTGCTACCATGACCATTCAACCTGGGGCTTACTCTTCACATAACAACAACTCATATGAATCTCTCTTCTAGGGTGATTTGAGGTCCCAACAAGGTCATCAACAACCCCAAAAAGCCTGCCAGTCATGGCCCTTGAAGCTCAACACTCGTTGATGGTCTTGGCCAAGTGTACTCACCTGAACCTACTAGGCAATATTGAACTCACCTCAGAGACAGATCATTAAAATCCATTCAGCGGCAACCCCTTCAACCGATAGGAGACGTCATTTGTTAAGGGTCATTTAAATCTGAGAGTCATTTAAATCTATATTTTTTTATTCCTTCATCATGTCAGCTTTCTTGTAGCTATTGGATCCTTATAAATAAAGTTGAAAATGAGCACTTTGGATTTTTTGACTAATTGGGATTCTATGTCTCTTGAGCACTTATTACTGGTTTTCTCTAATATATTACCTTACCTCTATTCTTATACAAATTCTAGATCACATCTCATAGCGTTCACTTGTTAGTAAGGTCGAGTATCGTCCACGAATATATTTAAATCCAACAAAATGTATAAATCCCTTTAAAATGATATTTTCAACCCAAATGGATTCGGGCATATTTACCAAAATAAAAATTTAAAGGGGTTGTTAGTAAAAATTCCCTTGTCAATGTTCACAAAATTTAATGAATTTAAGAATTTTTATCTTTCATGTTTTAAATATGGAAAGAAAAAGACATAACTTTTTAAGATTTATCAGAATTTGTAATTGACATGTTAAATAAATTTAAACTTTTAATACTCACAAAATTTATTAAATCTGAATCTGAAATTTTTTACTAAATCCTACGGCCGCTTTGTGGTAAACGATAAGCCATTCGATTTATCCTTATCGACACTCCACAACGCCATTATTCTCTCGGTCATTACGAAGGGCCACAACAAATGCTGGCCATCCAACGGAAGGTTTATCCCCGCAGGAGCAATCTGCATTTCCTCCGTTTCTCTCTCTCTCTCTCTCTCTCTCTCTCTCTCTCTCTCTCTCTCTCTCGCGGCGGCGGCTAATTCGTTTGCTGGAGGTGACCTAAAACAACAGGGAGCAAAGCTAGAGAAGATGATATAGCTTGATAGTCTGGTTCGGGTAGTGGTTAGTCTTTTGAATTCCATGAGGTTGGCATTTTGACTTCCGTTAGTTCTTATTTTTCCATATACAACGTTTAGAAGAATTCTTTTTTTAGTCTTCTGATCAAAGCCTAGATGTGCTGGGTAAAGTGATTATTGTGCATTTACATAGGAAAAAAAAACCGACAAGGTTGGAATAGAGTTCCTCGACGCATTTTTTATTTAGACTGAAATGGACTTTGCGTAAGAGATCCATTGATGGTTTTTAAGAGAGTAAGCATTGGAAGTTATTTTATTGCATAAATAACATAAGTTTGTAGTATGCACTTTCGTATTCAGAGAAATTCATTCCTGATTATCATCATTTCTTATGAATTTCTCTTTGTTACGTTGGCAGCAACTTTTTGTTTCTTATGTAAGATTACTTGCGATTACGGCAAGGTCTGTGATTGTTTTATTTTCGTTGGATGATTCCTAATTATTTCACAATTTTGTAATGGCTTTATTTTAATTTTTAATAAACAGAATGAAGTTTTTGAGTTATCCGTTAACTTACACCTAAATTTACATGATGACATAAACTGTTTTTGACTAGTTAGGCATGCGAATCATACTGGTGTTGACTAGTTAGTTGAATCATGGATTGCAATTATTGAATATATATATATATATATATATATATATATATATATCAAGTATGGATATTTGGAATATATATATATATATATAAATATATATCAAGTATGGATATTTGGATCCAATTTTGATCCGGTGAGCTTAAAAATGGACACTCTGTATTTCTATTTTATTTAAATAATATGATGTAATGTTATTTCGATTTGTGGATAAATTCATAATTATTGATGACATTTGTTATGAAATGTATGACAAATCAGCAAAATGATAAGATATAATATTTAATCAGCAGAATAAAATATATCTATATATGTCTTCAGTAGAAAAAATGTCAAAAAAATTAACACATTCCAATTTTTTAAGACCATCCTGATCAAAATGGGTTAGGATATCCTGACTTGAATTGTTTTCAATTAGTTGATTGTTTGAATCTATTTGAATAGTTTGTTGAGTTAAAACGTGTTGATGGATTATATCCTTTTCTTCCATAATTATGTTTGTGGAAAGCCAAGCGGCAAGCATTTTAATATTTAGAAATTTTGGTTTGTTCTTGAGGATTAAATGTGGACTAGGATTAAATTAAGATTAATATAACAAATATTATTTACTTTTACTTTTGTTAGTCACTTTTTTGTGGCTTGCTATCTTTTTTTGTTGTTGAAATTGGCTGAAGCATCACCTACAAAGTAGAATTAAATAAGCTGCGGTTACAAATATTTATTGATTTCAAAAATTTGAAGTGATTGTGCTAATGACAACAAAATATATGCATATGCTATGTTCTAAAAGTTGGACTGGATATTAAATTAGAATAATGAAAGGTTTAAGGTTCAAATACAACCACAACAACAACATCAAGCCTTTATCCCACTACGTGGGGTCGGCTACATGAATTCTTTTTCTCTATTGTGTCCTATTAAAAGTCAAATTCTCATTTAAATCTAATAAAGAAAGGTCATTCCTAATATTTTTTAACCAAGTCTTTTTAGGTCAGCCTCTACCTTTCTTAACATAAGTCAAATCTAATACATTTACTCTCCTAACCGGGTCATCGGAAGGCCGTCGTTTTATGTGACCAAACCATCTAATGCGATTCTCTCTAATCTTATTATCTACTGGAGATACTCCAATCTTTTCATGTATATGCTCATTTTGTATCCTATCTTTAAGGGTAAAACCACTCATCCACCTGAGCATCTTCGTCTCTGTCACACTTAACTTAGTACTATGCTTCTCTTTTAATGGCCAACATTCCGCATCATAAAGCATTGCAGATCTCAGCACCATCTTATAGAATTTTTTAATGTTTGAGGTGTACTTTTCTATCACACAACAAGCCCGACGTATTTCATCACTTCAACCTTCCAACTTGAATTTTACTGATAATATCCCCATCAATATCACCATCACTTTGAATAATAGATCCAAGATATCTAAAACTTGTACTCTTATTAATGACTTGATCGCCCAAAGTCACAATCCCCTCACTAGGTCTATTACTACTAAAATTACTCTCTATATATTCCATTTTAGATCTACTCAAGCGAAAATCTTTAGACTCTAAAGTTGATCTCCATAATTTAAGTTTACCTTCAACTCCCTTTCTAGTCTTATCAACAAGAAGAATATCATCAGCAAAAAGCATACACCAAGGTACATCCTCTTGCAAATGTCTAGTGAGAACCTTCATGACAAAAGCAAAAAGATATGGGCAAGGCTGATCCTTGATGTAACCCACCCGAAATAGGGAAATACTTGGTCAACCACCTTGTTTGAACACAAGTAATAGCTCATACATACATATCTTTAATGATTTGAATATAAGCGTTATTAACTCCTTTCTTTTCAAGAACTCTCCAAAGCACTTCTCTTGGAACTTTATCATATGCTTTTTCTAAATCAATAAATATCATATGTAGATCCTCCTTATTTTCTCTATATTTATCCAACAAACCTCTTAATAAATGTATGGCTTCCATAGTCGACCTACCCGGCATGAATCCAAATTGATTTTGAGAAACATTAGTATCACGCCGCAACCTATGCTCCATAACTCGCTCATATAGTTTTAAAGTATGACACATTAACTTAATTCCTCTATAATTCACACAATCTTGTGCAGCACCTTTATTCTTAAAAATAGGAATTAAAACACTCATTCTCCACTCATCTGGCATCTTTTGTCTTCAAAACAATATTAAAAAGTTTAGTAAGCCAAGAAATTCCTTCATCTCCTAAGCATTTCCATACCTCTATTAGAATATCATTAGGTCCAATAGCTTTTCCACCCTTCATATTCTTTAAAGCCTCTCTAACTTCGGTTTTACTAATACGCCGATAAAAATAGAAATCTTTATTTTTATTTAGTGTGCTAAGATCACTACAGTCAATCTTATTTTTACAATCTTCATTAAAATGTTTAGCAAAATATCTCATCCACCTTTGTTGAATATCATATTCTAAGAAAAGTATTTTTTGATCTTCATCTTTAATACACTTCATTTGAACTAAATCCTTACTACTCCTATCTCTTTGTTCGGTTAACTTATATATATATATATCTTTCTCCCTCCTCAGTATCTAATTTATTATATAAGTCACTAAAAGCTACGAACTTTGCATCATATATTGCTTTCTTAGATTCCTTACGAGCTTCTTTATATCTTTCCCAAAAATTTGAATCGGAGGTTGAACTGAATGATGTAATAAATATTAAAATTATTTAATATTATATAAATGGTATAACAGTGATGTAAATATTTGATAAAAAATAAAGTAACTACTTTATGAAATATAGAACATATACAATAAATATCCTTTATAATTGTAAATTTAAATACTTATATTTAATTGACTAATTTCTTCCTTTGTAGCCATAAGTAAATTTTAGATAATACTTTAAATTTTCCTTTACACAATTGCATTATATATTGCAAGTTATTCTATATATTATTTAATATAGATAAAAGTGCTTATACATCAAGGAATTTGTGGAATTATGGGGATAGGAGTTAGTGTTTATAAACTTTTAAGTTTTTATATCTACCCTTCTAATTAAAAATAAATGTCGATAAATTAATCAAAGTATGAATTGGGTGTTTCATCAAAATCACAATCGATTCATTGATTTTAACCAATGATTTTATTTGGTTCATTCCCGTTCTAAAAAGCATGATTTTGAAGTGGGTCAAATTGTTTGGGGGATTGACTTATGGTTGAACCAGTCAGACCAACTAATTTGGTCCAATTTTTATAACCTTGTACAAAAGTGTCAAAAATCTTATGAAAGGCTTGAAACATTTTTTGGCTTTAGAACATAAGATCAATTTGGATCTTTATGTTTAGAATAGATTCATTTTAAAGAGAAGGCATCACATAAATAACCACTCTACAATGCAAAGCTAAGGCTACAAACATTAATCACTACAAATCCAATGTTAGCTAGGCCCGTCATGCATTGGTTTGATTTTTTTCCCGTTGAAAAAAAGGGCTTGCTTCAGGCAGGAGATCTTATTTATGCAGTTTAAAAGGTTACGTATGGTGATGATTTTAATAAGGATCAGCTATGTGATGTAGGGGTTAAGACTTTTGAATTTAGAGTTCTAAGTCATAACTAGTTTATATTTGGACATTTTGTATTTGTTTATTTTGGACTTTTTGTTTATGTTAATTTGTTTAACTTACATATCTCTCTTATTATTGAGCATTTGTATGAATTTTAGGATGTGGCTATAATACTTTTGTATTACTCCCAAATATTTCATTGGGGGAAATTGAGCACAAATTTTTATGATTTTACATATAATTGTGTTCTAAGGAGGATTACACTCAAATGGTTCATTTTTAATATTTTTAATTAATTTAATGACCTAATTTTAAGGATTATACCTCTCCTCAAAAAAAGAAAATACCTTAATACCCAATTGCACAATTTTAAGCTCGTCTTGAACGAAATTATGCAATGCTTGTTTAGTAGAGGGCTATCCTCTTCATAAAAAACTTCGTTATGATGCATGGACATGATATGATGCACAACATAACTATAAAAGTACCCTCTATGTGATGGAGGGGTGAGACTTTTGAATTTTGAGTTCTAAGTCATAACTAGTTTAAATTAGGACATGACACATTATGGATATAATGTTAGGTTTTATAAATTATTTACATATAATATTGAATTTCTAATATTTTCTACTAAGGACATCATCTAGTGAAGGGGGTAAGCATTGTGGAAGCTTCATCAAAGGGCTAAGGCTTGTCAAAGCGGAGACATGGGGGCAACATTCGGAGAGAAAGATGGGTTGAAGGATATGAAATCTTCATTGAAGGATCATTGAAGAAAGTCATGATGCGATGATTGAAGTGAAAGTAAAGTTGAAGGCTGTAGAACTTTCGTTGAACGCCTGTCAAAAGGGTGATGAGAGTTGCGTTGTTAGTCATACATGGAAGAAGAAATGATGTTAGGGTGCGCATATAAGGATTAAGGAAGTTAGAGCAATCACAACATAGTAATCTAATTTTATCAAATGTGTGTATTGATATCCCACAGACAGAGATGTTTTTCATGCGTGTGTGCTAATCTAATTATATATAAAAGCTTCCGACATAATTTTCAGCATTTCAAACATTTTGAGGCA